CAGAGGGACACAATTCTCCCCATGGCAGCTGGATGGTGCTAGATGAGACAGCAAGACAGTGATAAGGCATGACGGAGAGTCACTGCAGTGCCTACTACAGGCTGAATTATGTCCACCTTTGAATTCATAAGTCCAACCCCCCCTTGTACTTCAGAATGTAACTGTATTTGGGGCTCAGGCCTTTAAAGAGGTGATTAGGTTAAAACAAAGCCATTAGGATGGGACCCTAATCCAATCTGACTGGTTCCCTTAATCGAAGAGATACCATGGGGACATGGAGGAACAACCCAGCAAAGAAGCAGTGGGGCTGACCGTCTGAAAGCCAAGGGAAGAGGCCTCAGAGGAAATCTCCTGCCAGCCCTTGATCTTGGACGCCCAGGTTCCAGAATTGTGAGAAAAGAAATTTCTGGGCCAGGAGTAGTGGTTCACACCTGTAATCCTAGCACTCTGGGAGGCTGAGGCAGGGTGGATCACTTGAGCTCAGGAGTTTTGAGACCAGCCTGAGCAAGAGTGAGACCCATCTCTACTAAAAACAGCTGGGCAGGCCAGGAGCGGTGGCTCATGCCTATAATCCTAGCACTTTGGGAGGCTGAGGTGGATTGCCTGAGCTCACTAGTTCGAGACCAGCCTGAGCCAGAGCAAGATGGTTCATTTCTAAAAATAACTGGGCACTGTGGTGGGCACCTGTAGTTTTAGCTACTTGGGAGGCTGAGGCAAGAGGATCACTTGAGCCCAAGAGTTTGAGGTTGCTATGATGCCAGGGTACTCTACTGGGGGCCACAATGTGAGACTCTATCTCAAAAAAAAAAAGAATAAATAAAAATAATAGCTAGGTGTTATGGTGGGTACTTGTAATCCCAGCTAAACAGGAGGCTGAGGCAGGAGGATCACTTGAACCCAAGAGTCTGAGATTGTTGTGAGCTATGTCACAGCAACTCTATCCAGGACGAGAGTGAAATTCTTTCTCAAGAAAAAAAGAGGGCAGTGCCTGTGGCTCAAAGGAGTAAGGCGCTGGCCCCATATACCAGAGGTGGCAGGTTCAAACCCAGCCCCGGCCAAAAACTGCAAAGAAAAGAAATTTCTGTTGTTCAAGCCTCCCATTCTGTGGTATTTCATTAAGGCAGCCTGAGCTACTAATACAGTAATGGACAATGGAATCCAAGCTGCTAATAGGGACACAGGACACAGCAAGGGTGTGGACAGTAATGCTATAGCGAACTTCTGATAAGGTTGAAGAATCTATGAAATGGAAGGTGCCAGAATGTGTGAGCTAGAAAATTGGCAAGCAGTGGTCACACTGAAGGATCTCAGCCATGCTAGGTGTGGCAGCTCTTTCCTCTGCTGGTTCCCAAGTGGCCCCTTGGTAACTGACCCAGTTCCAGAGTCACATGCAGACTCAACAACATCCCACAGAAGAGGGACACTATTTCTTCCAATACATCTCTTCTTAAGAGCAGAGAAATGCTTCCCAGAAGGTTAGAAATTGCACACTTCCATTCTTAAGCAAATCTCTAGCAAGGGGAAAAAAAAATCATAGTTGGGGGGCGGCACCCGTGGCTCAAAGGAGTAGGGTGCTGGCCCCATATACTGGAGGTGGAGGGTTCAAACCCAGCCCTAGCCAAAAAAAAAAAAAAAATCATCTTCATCTTCTGTAGGAAGGAGGGTAAATTTGCTTAACAAAATGGGAGTTAGTCTAGCTGGAAGGAAAGAGAGACCTTGTTTAGTGCTCTCTGCTAACAAGGTGTGTGTGATAGCTGCCATAGTCACGTGGTTATATTTTGAGGAGCTAGGGTTTGTGACAAAGGAGGAGAAATAGTCAGGGAGCAGTCCCAGGTTCCTTGACCTACCTGTGGCCTGGAGGTGTGTGGAATACAGATTCCTCTCTCCCTACCCTCCTGTCTTCCAACCACACTGCACCAGCAGGACCTCACTCACCTCCTCAGTTGCACTTGCTCTGAGAACACAGCTGTTTCCTCTCCCACCCTTTAATGACGCTGCTGCTGCTGCTGCTCCCCTCCTAAATACCTCTTCCCTAACTCCTGTCCATCCTTAATCTGCCTCGCCTATCTAGGTCTCAGCTGAAGTGTGCCTCCTCTAGGAAGCACTCCCTTGAATTCCTCACTCTCAGATAGGCATCCGGATGGAGCACCCTACCCAGGCAGTAGGTACAAAGTGTTCAACAACAATGATAGTGAAAATTATGTTACTGTTAAAACAATGTTTTGGGCTTTAATTAGAACCATCTCAAGTCTACCTATCTGGATTTGAGGGAAGTCCAATATCAACTACTCCAAAGATGGGTTCCACTCCCTTGGATCACCACTCAATCCTGAGTGCCTAGAAAGGGTCCCCCACACTCCCAGTCCTCCAGCAGGAAGAGGCCCTGTTTGGTCTGTTCTGCCAGCTGGGATGCTGGTGCCACCATCTCTCTGGCCATTTCTGTTCCATGGGATCCTGCAACCTTCTGGTTCAGGTATCTGCTGAGAGCTTGAGGAGTCCCCCATGGAGTCTACGCCTCACCCAATCACTCTCCCCTAGCTCCCAAGGCCTCTGCCAACCTAGTTCTTCCCAGTCCTTGAGCTTCAGCTAGGGTGTGGCTGGCTGCTCTCCCCCATCCAAACCCTGAACATCCTACCCCTTTCTTAGAGGTCAAAAGCTGATCTTGCTGGTAGATTACTCAAATGACACCTTATCTCCTTCTGGAGGTACAGATTTCCCAGAAATCAGAATAGAGGCCTACATACCATACTGGGAGGAGAAAGATGCCTTTCATTCCTCTTAAGGCATCCGCTGGGGTGAAAACAAACGCCAAGCTGATTCTCCATAGATTGCTCTCTCTCTCTCTCTTTTTTTTTTTTTTTTTTTTGCGACAGAGTCTTGCTCTGTCACCCTGGCTAGAGTACAACAGCATCATTATAGCTCA